TAAACCTTAATCAGAATCATTTGTACAAAATTGTATCACGAAGTTATACTAATATAAATATCGTATTTTTTTCAATAATTAATCTAGTTGAGAATTATCTCTACTTCCATAGCTTCCTCTGAAGTAATAAAAATGGCAAACGAAATAGGTATCCAGTTATATGAGATGTATTCACCATATTTCTTCGAAGGCGATGAAGGACTGGTAGTAGGATTTTCTCACAATGATATGAGTAGAGCTGACGTTTCCATTGAAGTTCACAGAATCTTGCTTTCCCAAAAGTTTCTCTCATCCAGGCACTAGGGGACTGTAGTTTCGACCTTGCATAGGTCTTGCCAGTATCCCCAGCCGGAGTCGAACCGTGAAAGTGCTGCATGTAAGCTTAACACGTTTACTACTCGGCCACATTGCCACAAGCGTCCTTGGATCACAGGACAGATATGAATTTCAAGGCCAGGCCTTTTCCTTTATCACATTATTTGGTGGGATTGTCGATGAAGCAAACGTATTTTTGCCATTAAAATCGATTACATTACATATTTTTCGTATATAAATAGTTTCGAGACTACCAGTAAATCAGTTGTATGAAAAAATATATACGAAAAATATGCAATGTAGTTGATTGTTATAGCAAAAATACGTTTACTTCACCGACAATCTCAGCAAATAATGTGATATAGTAAAAGGTTTTGTCTTCCTTTGAATTCACATCTGCCCTGTGACACATGGACATTCGTTGCAATGTGACCGAGTGATTAACGTTTCAAGTTGACATGCTGCACTGTCACGGTTCGACTCACGCCAGGTTGAAACTGCAGTCCACTTCAGCTTGGATAAGAACAACTTTTGGGAAAGCAAGGCAACCTGAAATTCAATGGAAACGTCAGCTCTACTCATATCATTTTGGGAAAATTCTACTACCTATCCTTTATCACCTTAAACGAAAAAGTGAAAACATCTCATATAGCTGACTTATTGGTAGTCTCGAAACTCTACTTATATACGAAAAACTCATCTAGTTATTTTAATCACGAAACTTATTAATTATTGTGCTTCCTCTTCTGCCTGATCATTGCTCGTTCAATAATCTACGTCGGATAGGAATTACGACCACATTATACTAGAATATATTTAGCTCGTCCGTCGCTTACGAAATGTATCTTTTATATAATTATCATGAGGGAATTTTCAAAATAAATGATATCCGTTTTATACATTTTTGTCCAGTAAAGGGTCCAAACCAAACTCTAATCGATGTATGGATTTTTGCGGCTACCGTTAGAAGTGCATACTTTAACACCCATTATTAGATGCTTGAGGTTTATGAACGATTGATTATCTATACTAAATGAGTTGAAATTGCATGGCTGTAGATGCTGAGGATCGAATAATAATGAGGCCTGTTGTTTAAATTATAATCGGTAAAATGTCCCAGTATAATTGCAACGGCTCAACAACGAGGATAAACTAGGCCTAGGATTTGGTTTTATAAACTTCATTTAAAAAGCACGCGTTCGTGGTGCACTTTATCGCGTTAGGTCAAACCAATAGAGCGACAAATCAGAAAAATTGTGACTCGACTCTCTAATTCGAATGAAAAGTTGTTCGGAAGGAATCCGTGGATTGCTCTCGCTGAAAACTGCAGTAGGATTGTCATGGAATGAGTACTGTTGAATTGTGAGAAGACGTCTTCAGATCACCGTCATGCAAGTCAGGTGAACTCCCTCGTTAAGAAGTGGGTTGACCTTATTTTCACAACTTAGTATAATTGTCAGGGCGACTTAGTTTGACACACCTTGTTCGCAGTCCTCTGCCCTATTAGTTATCATGATTCCCAGCATCAGACCGTGGACTTGATACATTCTCAGATATTTTGTCGGAATCGTAGTCAGCATCATAAATGAATCTTGCTATTGTCAGCACCAAACTACAACTCGTCAGAGACAAGTGAAGTCAATAAACATGGTAGAAGTCGTGCTAGGGAGGAAGTGAGGTAGGATGGTAAAAACTATATAGATAGGCAAAGACCAAAATAGCAGTGATGACGCCACAACTGTTTAGGCGGAAAGTTTGGTCAAGGGATTGACTTCACTTGTCTCTTGGACGAATTGTAGCTTGGTGCTGAGAATGGCATAGCTCACTTACGATGCCGGCAAAGCGTCCGAGAATACACCAAGTCCACGGTCTGACGCTGGGAGTTATGATAACTACTATATCAGAGGACTTAAGACAAGGTGCATCCAACTAAGCCACCTTGACAACACGATCAAGTTGCGGAGACGAGGTCAACTCACTTAGATACATCGAAAGGAGACGGCGACTTTATCATCTTGGTCCTCATATCCTACCTTGCTAAGTTTCCGCATATCATGTGACATACATATTCAGAGCAAAGTCTGGTGCATAAATAGATTAAACCAATGCAAGGCGCCCGACTTCAACCCTAATCTCTTGTCAGTTCACCTTGCCATCCTAATGAGACATTCAATGATTTAGTTGGCTATCTCAATTTTACCCTATTTGCTTGCAGATAAGTGAGGTTAATTCATTAACCGTACGTGGATGTGGCGGAAGCTGCTTCATTACATAAATAAACTAGTGTACAATCTGTTTGAGTCATGCTTATGTATATGCTATTCTCCATTGAATGTAAATAATGCAACCCAAGCTCTGGCTGGGTAGATAAATGCGAGTGAATCCTACTATATCAACACTTCTACGGATCAAGATGTGAAGCAGCACAAAAATCTTGAGCATAAAAAGCCGAACTTATCTGAAAGAAGTAATCAGAATACGAGACATCAATGACGGGAAAGGACTGAAAATGAATAGTAGTCTCTACACTGGGACTAATAACCTAAAA